GCCGGGTGCTGGTGCTGTGAGCTGGCTGTGCACGTGGTGGAGACAGGGTGCATGCCGGTGCTGTGTGCCGGGTGCGTGCTGTGAGCTGGCTGCCCACGTGGTGGAGACATGGTGCCGGCACTGGGTGGGTGCTGGGTGGCGGTGCTGGTGCTGGTGCTGTGAGCTGGCTGTATGCACGCAACGTCATACGGTGTTGTCGCTTGAGCGTTCTTTGTCTATTTGCGCTGTGGGGTATTTACCTTCTTCAGGTTCTGTTTTGGCCGACAGCTGTGTCAAGGGCTGTACTGTTTGCGTGCGTACTTTTGTACGTATAATGTTGTATGCACAACGTCAGGCTCATGTTTCAGCATGCTTCACGCACACAATAGTCGTGCTGGATGTTGCTTGGCCTTGGGCAAGTAAGGCTTACGGGCTTTGCCGTTTGTGCGCATACTTTTGCGCGCGTAAACTTGTACACGCAAGATCATACTGGCCGTATCGTTCTACAGATCGTTGCTTCAAGCATGCTACAAAATCCACAGTGGCGCTGGATACTGCTTGGCCTTGGGCCAATGACACTTACGGGCTTTGCTGTTTGTGCGCATACTTTTGTGCGCATAATCTTTTTCGCGCAAGATCATACGTTGTTATTCCCTGCTGTGCGCGTGGTGGCGACAGGGTGCCAGTGCTGGGCACCGTTGCTGGCTGCTGGGTGTGCGTGGTGGACTGTGAGCTGGCTGTGCGCGTGGTGCCAACAGGGTGCGGGTGCTGGGTGCTGTCAGCTGGCTGTGCGTGTGGTGGAAACAGGGTGCCGGGTGCTGGCTGTGCGCGTGTGGTGCTGTGAGCTGGCGTGCCGGTGCTGGGTGCTGGTGCTGGCTGTGCGCGTGGCGGACACAGGGTGCCGCCGGGTTGCGGGTTGTGTGCGTGGTGCAGATTGGGTGCTGGCGCCGGGTGCTGGCACTGGCTGTGCGCGTAGTGGAGACACGCCACGCTGTATTGTGTGTAAAATTGGAGCTGCTGCCAATGCAGGTGCAGCCCAAAATTTTTTTTTGCATGCTTTTGCTATCTGGGGTCTATGCTGGAGTAATTTATTGTTATTTGTTATTTTAACACAGTCCACATAAATGTCACATCAACTAAACCTGTTCTTGTTCCATGGACATGTGTTGCACATGAAACGTAGCAAGGGTCTGACATCGGAGCGACGGCCGCCTGGATAGGAGGCGGTGGATGCGCCAGACTTGCCCACTGAGCATAGCGAGGAGTGAGCCTCACACATCGGCAACAGCTTCGCTTGAAGTATATATATATACACATGTATTTATATATATATACAAATAACGTATGTGCCTTTGTTTGTTTTCTTCTGGGTCCAATGAACCATGTTCTCGCATGGTTTGGCAGGACCTCACGCTGGACCCAGCTTCTGAGGTCCTAACCGAAGTTCTGTGTGTGAAAGTTCCATTCTGTTGTTTTTCATATATATATATATGTTTCTGTGTAGAAGAGAGAGAATTGAACAATCAAAAAACTCAGATCCAGCCAAAGTCCATACCTTCACGATTGAAAAAAGAACAGCAGTACTTTTGGGTTTGGGTCTTGAAATGTTTTGAACATTCTCTTTGCCAGGTGCTCACTGATGAGGTGTTTGCGCAGCCATCGGTATCTTCTGAGGAGATGTGAAGGGGGAGCACAAGCCCTTGCCGGGATGTTTATGTTTTGTTTTGTTGTTTCTGTTCTCTGTTTCTCATGCCATTGCATACCAACCCTTCTGAAACTGCAGCTTGTGACGGTATATGGAGCAGGCATTTGCTTTGCAGCTTAACAAGAGGGTTTCCTACCAAAGCTTCCACCTACTGCAGAAGCGTTTGTGTTACTAGGGCAAGGGCATGTTGAGTCTAGGGCAAACATGAGCATACCGCAAGTTAGCAAAGAACGTTGCATGAACCATCCAGCGTATTTCGCCTGGAAATAGGATACTACGAGCACAACACACATACCAAGTGCCCAAATAGGCTAACTGGATGACTGACCCTGCTGCAGGAAGCTCGCCGTCATTGTCTTTGATGTCAGAAGGCCTGCCAGAAAATCGAACCGGTCCACAAATGCGTCATATATACACATAAGCAGATAGAACTCATCAACCTTTAGAAAAGTTTTTGCAATACGAGAGGACAAGGGAGTACTCCCTGTTGCAGTGACATAGCAAGTTCGGATGAGGTTGAGAATGTTACGTTTGCATGCGCGAAAGATCTCTCGAGCCAGGTCCTTGCCGAATTCGATGTGATGGTTTTCTCTTTCGAAAAGATGAGCAGCAGTCCTCATCTGTAGACAGTGCAAAGCACGCAAGAGGCGTGACTACAGCATCCAAAGTCGGACACCTCTTCCTAGATTTATATGATATATATATATATATGATTTATAGCGGCTAGCGTGTGTATTGCGGCCAAAGTCTAGCGTCCCACACTGTTCTACCTGGGGACCCTACATATGCGTACTCATTATTGCAAGCATCAGAACCCATGAATTCAATCACATGAAGAAAGGATTGTGATAAACATATTTTGTCATAGTCACATTGATGAGAATTGAGAATGCACTGACAGAGGCTGTCAGTCCATGCACGCACGATAGGCACGACCTGCTGATCCCCAATAGCTTTGGGATGTCAGAATCTGCACAGATGCATGCATTGTGGAACTACAGTTTATATTAAGTATCACCACTCACCACTGGTACAGAGCCAGTGAGTCTGTGAAATAGAGCAAGTCTGTACAGAGGCAACTTTGACAAGTTGTGATGCTGGCGGGCGCAGTGGTTCGAAAGCTACCAGAAATGTTGCTTGTGATCCGCGTAAATGCAGGTCCAGAACCAAGCGTGTATTGGTCCTGCTCCAGAATAGTAGGTTGGAGGCCATCGCTATTAGGGG